TCAAAAGTTTCATAACATAAGGTATTGTAAAATTGAGCTTTTGTAAAAATTTCCTAAAAATTCTGGGATATTTGACCTCGACGTACTGATTTGAAAAATGTAGCGTGTTTATGATCCTACAATACGATCATGCCTCAAACATATGAACTTTGCATTTAAGCTCCGCCCCCCGATTTCATAACGAATAAAAATTCATCACAATTGAGATCGAACTAGGTGAGTGGGGATTTTTTTTTAATACATATGTGAAGTTTTCTTTCAACAACGTGATACTTAAAACATGTTTCACATGGTAATTTCTTTTCTAGAAATATAAACTTTACATCTAAGCTACGCCCTCCTGTCTCACGACCAATAAAAAATTAGTCACAATTGAGATGGGGCGGGTGGGTGGGGCTTATCCTTTAACTTTCTTCTCGTAATATACATAATCTTCTTTCAACAATAAAATACTTAAAATATTATTAAATGGTCAATTGCGGTAAGAATTATGTCCAGCTGCCTCACCAGTGACCCATATTAACCGATTACGCTACAAATTAACGTAAAAGTCAAGTTGTGATTCTTAAAATTTTTATTTTTGTAGTTTTTTTTTTCTTCTTCTTTCGATCTCCTTTTGCTTTTGAGAGATTTATGATCCCAGACCAAAATTTTCGAATTATTCGATTTGAACGTCAAATTTTTAAAAAATCCTAAAATTTCCAACATTACATTTGGCGATTCTGTAAAAGTGGTACGATTTTTCGACGAAACAAAACCCAAAATAACCTCTGGGGATCAAGATCATGTTAAGTCAGGTCATGTCAAGTCAGGTCAGTCAGGTTCTAGTAATCAAAATCTCTTCTCTCTCTACCCAAATTTATCGCGTTATTTCCAAATTTTTTTCTATACAACCCATCCAAAATGTAGCAAACATTTTGAGTCCATTGTTGTGGTTTATCAATGGATTCATATTTTTTTACTTTATACAGATTAGCGCCAATTTTTTTTTATATTTTTGTTTTGAAAGTCAAATTGTTTAATTTTCTGTTAACAATTCCATAAAAATGGTAGCAATTTTCGAAGAAATGAAGCCGCAATTAACTTCTGGGGGTCTAAATCTACAAAAAATGTCTTTGGTAAATTTTCGAAAATGTTTGAAAAACGATCAAAAATTTCGCTATGGAGGCGTATTGAAAAATTCAATTTTTGGAAGTCTTCAAAAAATCCACGTGTATATTTTCATACAAAATGTATATTCCCTTTGAGAAAAGTAAAATCTGCATTTATTTATTTATTAACTATTGAAAAAATATTTCAGTGAATCTTTACCGAATTTTTAATTATTTTCAAATGTATAGTGTGTTTCATTGAACAGCTACACACTAAAGCTGTATTGTTTCAATGAAACATCCTATATATTTTTATATTTTAGCAGCCCTTATAAAAACAGGGAAAACCCTCGTTTATCCTGAGCTATTGAGAAAACATTTTGGCCAAGTTTCATAGAATTGAAAATTATTTTCAAATATACAGTGTGTTTCATTTAACAGCTACACACCGTGATTTTTTTTTTTCAATGTAACACCCTATATATTTTTACAGATTTTTATTCTTCGTGAAAAAAGGAAAATTCGTATTTATCGTGAGCTTTTGAAAAAATTGGTCGAAAGTTGTTTCAACAGAACTTCCCTCGCTTCTGAGGTAGAATAAAAAAAATAAATAAACACCCAATCAGATTTAGGAATTTAACTGGTTACTACGAAAATTTACAATTTAAAACCTTTTAAATTTAGCAAGTTTTTACAAGATTAATAGAGCCAAAGTCAGTCTTATCTTAGCAAGTACTAGCCCCGCCCACCCGCCCCCTATTTTCTCAGAGGATGTCATTTGCAAAGTAAATCCTATCTTAACAAGTACTAGCCCCGCCCCCTATTTTCTCAGAGGATATGTCATTTGCCAAAATAAATCTTATTTTAACAAATACTGGCCGTTCATCTGCCCTCTATTTTCTTAAAAGTATGTCATTTGCCAAAATGCTAGTATTTGCCACGATAAGACTGATTTTGGCAAATGCCATACCCTCTAAGAAAATACAGGGCGGGTGGTCGGGGCTAGTCCTTTCAAAGACAAAACTAATTTTGGCAACTGACACATCCTTTGAGAAAATAGGAGGTGGGTGGGCGGGGCTAATACTTGTCAAGATAAAACTGATTTTGGCAAATGACATATCCTCTGAACAAATAGGAGGCAAATTTAAAAAATATGAATGCAATCTTAAATCACAAGTAAAAACTCATCTAAAAAATTGTAAGACGTACATCTCAATGTGCTAATTCGAAAAATTATAAAGGTTTTATTGTTTCAAAGCAAGACTTACCAAATTTTTTAGTAATTCTAAAAAATGCCAGATTTCAATTGGTGATTCTGGAAAAAATGATAGGAGTTTTAGAAGAAATGAAGCATAAAATAACTTCTAGGGCTTGAATTCTACAAAAAGTGTCTTTGGCTTATTTTCGAAGGTGGCCGAAAAATGATCAAAAGTTTCATAAATAAGGTATTGAAAAATTGAGTTTTTTTATTTAAACAATTTTCTTCAGAAATGACTCAAAATCATCTAACTTAGAATATATATGTATGAAAACATTACAAAATAACTAGATTTAAGTGAGGTAATCGTCGCAATCGCATAATAAAATCTGATGTTCAATTCCGCAAAACCTCTTAGAAAAACGTTCAAAAAAAGCCAACAATCTCCGGGGCGACAAAGCGCCCCCGCCGCAATCCCCTTAAATAAAAATTGCGCAAATTGGATAACACACAACTCAAAAGACAACCTGATCCTACAAAGGCATCAAAAGCGTTCAATGCCTCCTCCAACAATATTCGTCTTCTTCCCAATTTCACTCGAACTCAACAATCACAAACTCCTAATTAAATAAACCTAATCCACAGCCCGTACAAGTAAATAAAAGCAAATATATAATTAATCAATATAATGGCACATACCGTTTCATTACCGAACCAATTTCTGAGTTGTTTACTCCAACTTCCAATTTAATTATGGGCCTATAAATAACTCTCATCTGACGATGAGAAAACGGTAAAAGAGCAGAAACTTGGGCCGGCGAGTCACTGCTCGGGTGACTCACACTTCACAAAAAGGAGGATGTTAGGCAAAAAGTAAGTTAATGAGACGCCTTGACCGGAAACTCGTGGAAGTCTTTCAGCGTTTCCGGAAGTGGAAAACAACCGCAGGTTTTTCGAAGCTGAGCTTCGACGTGGATAAAATCCAAAGCCAGGCGGGACTTTCACGATTTCGGCCGAAATGCCCGCAGTTTTTTAACGAAAACCTCCCCCACGCTCGATTAATCTCCTCAAAAATAAATCGAACGTTTAAAACTCTTTGAAATAATTCAATTAGAATCGAGTTCTTTCAATCCCGGCGCTTTTAATCGCGAAATTTAATAATTCATGGGCCGGAATAGGGCTCCGTTTCGGTGTACGTCTGTTTTTATCTTCGTAAAAAGCGTTATCGCTGCTCCAATATCATCTCAATGTCATAGATCGAGTAAACACTACAGCGATAAAGAATTATCTACAAAGATTAGCTAGTAAATTAAACACAATTATTTTTCTTTACCACCGAATCTTGAAAACAGTCCAATTTTACAGACACCCATAACACAAACAATGCGATTTTACGACGGGTTCGGGGTTGACGGAGCCGTTTCAGTTCTTTGGCATTGTCTACGTCGCTAATTCGTACTCGCGAAAATTCGAGACAGAAAAAGGACACTTTTTGGACACATATATTGCGACCGTTTTGTTCGACGCATACACCGGACATTTCCGATTTCGTTGTTCGGTTAGTTCGAAACGACATACGGTAAAAGCCAGGTTTAATGACAAGTTGTACGTATACACCTTGTGGCCATAAATTATCCGACAGCTGCTCGCCCGCTATCTAATCTCTAGCAGACGGAATACAAGTGTTTGAATTTTTTTTCCCAAGATTACGGTCTAGGGGGCAGAAGCGACTCGTCCCAAAAAACGTATTCCCATCATTAAGCGAATCGATGTGCCGCTGATGATTATGTCGATATCTCGTTAACCCACAAGAAAATGTAAGTTTCATTAAGGCACCGCCATTACTTCTCATTAATTTATTATTAATTTAGGTCATCTGTATCTAAATGAGTGTATTTTAAAAATGTAGACGGGTCTGAAAGTTCACAAACAACTTCCAGCTGTTAATAATATTCGAAATGATGTTGAAATTCACGTTTTAAAAATAATTCTACTCGGAGCAGGGTCCGACTTGAAAACTGCCGCGTTCCGTTTATTGGTTGTAAAAAATTACTTCAATTTACACTTTATTATTTAAATTAATAGGGACTTTACACTTCCTGCTTCGAATAAATGGACCCAAGAACAGTTTTTAAGCTTAATAGTTGTTATGATCGGTAAAAGCCAGGTTTAACAACAAGTTCAGGAAATATGTAAAAAGAAAAAAAGGAGATTTTTGACACACCAAGGGCGCTAGGAGAAAAACAGTTAAAAATACAACTTCACTCTTAAAAATCGATTTGTCAGTTATGTTAATGGCATTAACTGTACTAACTTTTGATGTCACGTGCTTGTCACTTGAACACGACATAATAATAAAGGAAATACCAAAAATTTTAGTGTGACTTTGCTTTTGCTATATACCAACGAAGGAGATGGTGCCTGGGGAATAAAAAAAAACGTTCGGTACATTACTATTTGATTAGTGATCGCGAGGTGTCGTCCACCGACTTATTAAAGAAAGAAATTTAGAATAACGGTATCAACCACAAAACGACGACATCAACATCTGTACGCCAAACAAAGAAAAACTTGATATCGTCCTCAAAGCCAAAGAAGTCGTTTTTCCCCCCGGTCCGCTCCCTCGCCCCCCGTGTACCTGCAGCACATGTGCACCACCTCCATCTTTGGTCTCCCGCGAACAAAGAACAAAGAACGCCCCTCGAACTCACCATCCGCCGCCTTCCTGCCGCCACCCCACAGGTTGCCCGCCCCCGCCGAGGGCTTCTTCCACCCCCGCCAGTTGTTGCACACGCTCTCCGGCTCCGAGCTCCAGCTGCACAGCGAGTCCTCCTCGAACCGGTCCGAGTCCTCGAAACTGAACCTGTCCCCTTCCTCCCACTCCAGCATCGCGGCCGCGACATCGCCGCCACCGCCGCCGCCGCCGGGGAGGTTTCCGGCCGCCGCCAGCTTCGACAGGGGTCGGAGTCGTCGGGAACGATACACTCAGAACATCACAACACGCGCGCTGCACTGCACCGCCGAGACGACGTCCACACTATGGCATCAAGGGTGTCCAGAGCCGTCTCGCGACCTCCCCCATCAACGACAACAACAAATATGGCGAGCGGATTGCGCTCCGACTGGCCCCTGGCTGCCTGCGAGTGCTCTGCTCACGTCCTGCGGCTACGCACGAATGAAGGGGGCGACGGTGGCGCTATCTGGACCCTGGGGATTTTCAGCCGGAACGGACGGTAGAGGGGTTGGCAGCGCTGCGGCGCCCGCTGGATCTCAGCGAAGTCGACACGATTGCCGGCAAGGGGGCTGCAAGGGCCACCGAAAGTAAATCTGAGAGACAAACGACTCGACAGTGCTGACTGGCGAAGTGTCAGATAGTGGATAACGTTTTTGTACAGGTCTCTAGACTCAAATGTCATTACTGTCATCTGTGCTTTAGGGACGTGGAAGGGGAGAACGGAAAGCATTATTGACCATAGGCGCCGACACCAATAGGGATTCTGGTAACAACTCGTACTTCGTTACAAAACACATTTTCTCATTTTGTCTGAATAAACTCAACGTACAGGAGTATTAAATAACTAGAGATAAATTTTTATTGGTTATAAACAAGGCACTAAAACCCCAAAAATTCCCAACAAAAAAATGTCAAACCACAAGTATGGATTAATGCGACTGATTTAAGCACAAACCTAAAATGGTAATCGAGAAAGTAACGAAATTACGACCCTAAAAGACACCGTTCTTGTTGCAGCAATTTGTCGAAAATCTGATTTTGAGGTTAGGTAAAATCCATAAGCCATAATATTGATAAATTTATTACTTAATAAATTAAAAATATCAATTACCGTCTTTCAGGGGGCACAAATTTGCAAGACCAGTTACAAACAATTTGTTATTGTAAAGCTACAAGTTGTAAATTCAGTCCGTGCTACACTTCTCCAAAATTCATGTGTCCTGTACTCTGCGCATGCTCCCGGGCCTGCAATTGTCCATTTAAATAAATATTACAATTCATACACTTTAACGTGAATTTATTAACATCGGTAAACTGTCGGCTGGCGTTCGCCTCTCGAGCCAGTTCTTCCGCTTGCCTTAAAACCTTCTCATCATCCGTAGGAAAAATGGTCTGGATGTTATTTCCCTAAAACAAAAATTCGCACTAAATTTTGCTGCAAAATCAGCCAACAATGGGCAATAATGTCATACGTGAGTCTTTTTTTTAATTCGTTGCAAAAAGTACTCACGTCAGCTGACTCCAAGAATAACGGGTCGTAGTGAATTCCATCAAACAACAGGAAAATCCTCAATGTATAATGCTGGTCCTCCCCGAACCTGTTAATAATAGCGTTAATAGTGTCCACCACGGCGATCTCGAACCCGTAATGGTTCGAGAGGATCGCCAACTCAATCGCGCCCCCCCATGACTTGTCGTCCTGGATCCACGTGCAATACTCATCGTTGGGTTTCCCCAAAATAGCCTCTGAGAAAGTCTCCGGATCATTGGCCACAGTCTGCGCGATCACTTGCCGCATGTACGGCGCCGCGGTCCCGCTGTCGTCGATCTTCCCGTTCAAAGCGAAGTATATGCTGCCGAAAAGGCACGAGTTGTCGGCCGGGACCACTTTCTTCATCAGTATACCCGAGGAGTTGGCACCAAAGTCGCTAATGTGGGATTTGTACGTGACTTCTTTGGGGGGCGGCGCTTTCTCCTCCAGGATTAGCGTGTCGCCGGATTTGATCCCGCTTTTGCTGAGGGATAGACTATCTTGGGTTAGGTCCAGTGGCTTGGGAGGGTAACCTGACAGGATGTGTAGGCGGTCTCGAGGAATCTTCGAGATGGACGAGAGTTGCGTTTTGAGGTCCTTGACGGTGTGCTCCGGTGTGAGATTCCTGAGGACTTCTTGGCCAGCTTTGGTTTTGATTCTTAGGGCGAAAGACATTTTGGTTTTGACGTAGTAAAAAAGGCGGACGACAAGGGGCTAGAGAAGCATTCGCACGAAATTCACACTTGTGCGGTGTTAACACAACGTGACAAAGGGTTTTTGTTGCTTTTCGGACTTAAAAAATCATTGCAAGGTCAATGATCTTGATCTAACCTCAAAACAAAGAGTGCCTTTATAGGGACTTTTACTTTTCTAATATTATGGAAACTCAGCGCAAAAAAGTCGTTTCTAACGCAGTCATCTAGACTTTTGTTACAACAATAAGGAAATTTGAACTATTTTTGCTGAAATTTGTAATTAATCATTTACCAAGAAGATTTATCGTGCATGTTTTTTTTTAGGGATTTCAACTCGCTTGTAATTATTGTTGGCGTCCCTGGTCCCGTTAACAACTCCGACTTTTGACACTTGTTTGACGCGCCGTTTGAGGTTAAGTAGTTTTTCAGATTCGTTATTTTTCGAATAAATCTCCAAAATGCCACGAATTATGATAAAAGGCGGCGTTTGGCGCAACACCGAGGTACGTTGTTTTCCTCTCCGGCGCCCCCAAATCTACTTGAAAATTTTCAGGATGAAATCCTCAAAGCCGCCGTAATGAAATACGGCAAAAACCAATGGTCTCGAATCGCGTCGCTCCTTCACAGAAAGTCGGCCAAGCAGTGTAAAGCCCGTTGGTTCGAGTGGTTGGACCCCAGCATCAAAAAAACAGAATGGTCAAGGGAAGAGGACGAGAAATTATTGCATTTGGCCAAGCTCATGCCCACGCAGTGGCGTACCATCGCCCCCATAATCGGCCGGACGGCGGCTCAGTGCTTGGAGCGCTACGAGTATTTGTTGGATCAAGCCCAGAAGAAGGAGGAAGGGGAAGATGTGGCAGATGACCCTCGAAAACTAAAACCGGGCGAGATTGATCCAAATCCGGAAACTAAACCGGCGAGGCCCGATCCGAAGGACATGGACGAGGACGGTGAGTTCTGTGGTACCGTTTATCGGAGTCATGTTGTAATGTGTGGTTTGCAGAGTTGGAAATGTTGTCGGAAGCTCGTGCCCGTCTTGCTAACACCCAGGGCAAGAAAGCTAAGAGAAAAGCCCGCGAGAAACAGCTGGAAGAGGCGCGACGTCTCGCCGCTTTGCAGAAGCGGCGAGAATTGCGTGCGGCGGGGATCGAGGTGAACTCGCGCCGCAAGAAGAAACGCGGTGTCGACTACAACGAAGAAATTCCCTTTGAGAAGCAACCGGCTATAGGTTTTTATGACACCTCGAATGAAGTCATAGATCCCATGGCTCCCGATTTCCATAAAATGCGGCAGCAGCACCTCGACGGGGAACTACGTAGCGAACAAGAAGAGCGCGAACGAAGGAAAGACAAACAAAAATTGAAGCAGCGCAAAGAGAACGATATTCCACAAGCCATGTTGCAGAATCAGGAACCGGCGAAGAAGAGGTCTAAGTTGGTCCTGCCTGAGCCTCAAATTTCCGATCAAGAGCTTCAACAGGTACCCCGTTAACCCAATTCCAAGTAGTTTGTGTTTAATTCTTAAATTCTGCAGGTGGTCAAATTGGGTAAAGCTAGTGAAGTGGCGCGCGAAGTAGCGGCCGAAAGCGGCGTCGAAAGCACCGACACTCTCTTCAGCGACTACACGATGACGCCGCAAGCCGCCGCCACCCCCAGGACTCCAGCGCCGCAAACCGACCGTATCCTCCAGGAAGCCCAGAACGTGATGGCTCTAACTCACGTCGACACCCCTCTCAAAGGGGGATTAAACACGCCCTTGCACAACTCGGACTTCACGGGGGTGCTTCCGCAAGCCCTCACCGTAGCCACTCCCAACACAGTCCTCGCGACTCCGTTCCGGTCGACGAGGAGCGACGGGGCGAACACTCCTGGGAGCGTGGGGTTCGCGACGCCACGTAGCGGGGCTCCAGCGGGCAACTTCACGCCCTCTGTGAGAGACAAACTTAACATCAACCCCGAGGAGAGTCTCGACGTGGGGGAGACGCCAGCGGCGCACCGCTCATTCCAGAACACCGTGAAAGAACAACTCAGATTGGGTTTAAGTAGTCTTCCGGCGCCGAAGAACGACTACGAGATCGTGGTGCCCGAGCACGAGGAGGAGGAGAAGGTCGAAGTGGTGCAGGACGAGAGGGTGGAGGACCAGGCGGACGTGGACGCGCGGCTGCAGGAAGAACTGAAGGCGAGGGCCGCGCGCGAATTAGCGTTAAGATCGCAGGTCATCCAGAGGACGTTGCCGCGACCACAAGAAGTCAACCTGGCGGTGTTGAGGCCGATGAACGAAAGCCACTCTCTAACGGAGCTGCAGAAGGCCGAGGAGCTCATCAAGCTGGAGATGGTGACCATGCTGCAGTACGACAACATGAAGAACCCTCCGCCGACGGTGACGAAGCGGTCGGCGATTTCACAAGCGCACCAGTTGGCGTTCTTGGATCAACATCCATACGACGATTTCAGACCGGATGATTTAAAAGTGGCGAAACACTTGTTGAAACGGGAGATGGATGTGGTGAAGTACGGGATGGGGCACGGGGAGTTACCCATCGAAGCGTACACCCAAGTATGGGAGGAGTGCCTCGGACAAGTCCTCTTCGTACCGAATTTGAACAAATACACCAGAGCGAATTTAGTCAGCAAAAAAGAAAGACTGGAGTCGGCGGAGAAGAGACTGGAACAGAATCGGTCGCACATGGCACGGGAGGCCAAGAAGGCCGCCAAAATGGAAAAGAAGTTGAAGATCTTGACTGGAGGGTACCAGTCGAGGGCTCAGGCGTTGATTAAACAACTCCAGGATTACTTTGAGCAAATAGATCAAGCACACCTGGAGCTCAACACGTTCAAGTTTTTGCAAGACCAGGAGAAGGCGGCGCTGCCGAGACGAATACAGGTGAGTACGAAGAGATGTAGGGGGTTGTAACGTTTGCGTAGTCGTTGACAGAGGACGTCAGCCGCCAGATGGAGAGGGAGAAGGCGCTCCAGAACAAGTACTCGGAGTTGCAGCAGCACATTAAGCAGATCCAGACGCACCTCGAGCAGCTGCAGACTCCTGAGGCGCCAGTCGAGCAAACGCAAGAGGTGGAGAGCGCGGAAGTGGACGAGGAGCCGGAGGCCGCTGTGGAAGAGGTTGCAGAGGGGTAGTTCTTGTATGTGTATAAAATAAAGTTGTAAAATTACTTTGGTGTTTCATTTGTGGACCTGCACAATAAGCAAACAAAATGCAATTACAACAATACGATGTAGTAGTAGTAAATGGGGGCGAAATGTCAGGGGTAGTCAGTCAATTGGCCCCAGGAAGGACCGGATTTCACTTTCACCGGGAACGGAATGGACAGCTGGACGGACTCTTCCATGGTGGTTTTCAAGGTGTTCGCAAACGTACTTAAAGTACTACTGGGTACTTCGAAAAGGAGCTCGTCGTGTAGGTGTAGTACCAGTTGGGGGCGTGGTTTCAGAGTGGAACATTTCTGGTCCAAGACCACCATGGTAGTCTTGACGATGTCGGCGGCCGAGCCTTGAATGGTACTGTTGACAGCTTGTCGCTCAGCTTGACCTAAATAAATATCAACGTTTAGAACAATGACATTTTTATTAAACTCAATTTTAATTGTTCAGTCACATTCCTAAATAATACCGGATGACTATTAATGACTGAAGCCAATTTTTGAGTTGGCAACTCTGTGTTATTGACAGCAATGTTAGCATGTCAATTTTGACATGGGGCCCAAAATTTCAATTTTACCATGGCCAACTCCATTAATCCCTTTTACTTTGTTTTAAATCTTATATTCTACCGCTTGTCAAATAAGAACTCAATTCCCATTTTACAGTAGATGAAATAAGTCAGTGAAATGGAGAAAAGAGGTGGGCGAAGCTAAGTTCAGCTTTTTTCTACAGTCTTATGAGCAAGCACTAGCCCCGCCCACCAGCCCTCTTGATTCTACTATTCCGGTGAGAGATTGGGATTTCTTGAGAATTGACATATTAGTTGGCAGCAACCTAACACTACAAAATGCGCTAAAATTCCTACGCTGTTGCCGTCTCTGTTACAAATGTAAAACTACTTAAGTTCCATTACTGAGGTTGCCTTTTTGTCTTAATATATGTAGTCATCTTTCCACAACAAGACACTTAAAACATGTTTAAAATGATAAATTTGTATAGGGAAATATCGATTTTGCAATTACGCTCCGCCCCTGGGTCTGACAACCAATGAAAAATTCATCACGATTAAGACGAGACGGATAAGTAAGGCTTCTCTTTTGGTCTTCTTTTTTAATTAATATATGTAGGGCCGGTTTATAGAAAAGCGAATTAAATATTTAATCCTCAATTAACTTAGCACAGGATTAAAATGAGGAATATGAGCCCGTGATTGGTTAAAACATGCACGTAGCCTATGAACAGACCTCAATTAAAAGTTAATCGCCAATTAACTTTAATTTCGCTTTCTATAAACCGGGTTTTAGTTTTCTTTGTATAACACGATTACTTAAGAACAATTTCACATGGTTCTTCTGGTAGAAAAGTAAGGATTTTACAATTAACCTCCGCCCCTCGGTTTACGACGAATAAAAAAAATCATCAGAATTGAGATTGGGCGGGTGGGCGGGGCTTATATTTTGCCTTTTTTTACATATACATAGCCATCTTTTCACAACAAGGAACTTAGAACATCGTTAAAATGGTACATTGCAAAACCGATATTTCTTTATACAAATTTTCCGTTTTAAACATGTCTTAAGTTTCATGTTGTGAAAATAAATCTACACATATTGAAACAAAAAGGCAAAATGTAAAACCCGCCCACCCACCCTGTTTCAATTGTGATGTTTTTTTTTAATTCACCGTGAAACAACTTAACTGTAAAATTCTCATTTCTTTACAAGAAATTAAAAACATGTTTTTAAGTATCGTGTTGTTAAAAAAATACTATGTATAATATTATAATATTTGCTAAGATAAGACTGACTTTGGCAGATGACAGATCCTCTAAAAAAATAGAGGGTGGGTGGGCGGGCCTAGTATTTGATAAGATAAGACTGAATTTGGCAGTTTTGATATTTTATGTATATCCGAAAATTGGTTGAAGGTATTTTCTTGTAGATTTCGATATCCAGAAGTCATTTTCGGCTCCGTTTTTTCGGAAATTCCTACAGTTTTCCAAAATTGTTAATTGAAATATAGAAGTTTTTACAGTTTCGACAAAAAAATATTATTAATTTTTGCTTCATAAAATACAATTATTTTAAGAATGTACTTTGTGGTTTTTATATATTCACAGAAATGTTTAAAATTTGTTTATTTGGGACAATAGAGAAGTCAGGACAGGTTAGGTCATGTTAGGTCAAGTCAAGTCAGATGCACGAAAAGAAATAAATTTTATAGCAAATAGTATAACAAAAAATGTTACGATTGGAGTTTTTTTTTTCACATCCTAGATTCTATTATTTTTTTCCACTCCACTCGACAGTAGAACATAATTAGCCCCGCCCATCCACCCTGTCTCTTTTCAGTGATTGATTTTATCCTTTTACTTATACTGAACGGAAATAAAATCAGTCGTTAGAATGAAACTAAGGTAGGTGGGCGGGGCTAGTACTTGCTAAGATAAGACTGATTTTGGCAAATGACAGATCCGCCAAAAAAATAGAGGGTGGGTGGGCGGGCCTAGTATTTGATAAGATATGACTGAATTTGGCACGTTTGACATTTTCGACCATTCAGGCTTAGCAATGCAGACTTTTGTATCCTTTTGGAGTTATGACCCTTTAAATTTGAAAGAAAAGGATGTTCTTAAGTCAAAAGTGACACTTTCCTATATATTCGTTATTCCATACTAAAAGCATTGAGTATCTGATCTGAAAATTTTCTTCTAGAACTAAAAAGTTTCAGGGAATCGAATGTTTCAAACCGTAATGCGGTTTTTTTTTTGCTTTTTTGCAGTTATGTCTCTTTAAATTTGTTTTATCTTAGCAGGAACTAGCCCCGCCCACCCGCCCTCTCTTTCCTTAGAGGGAATTTCATTTGCCAAAATCAGTTTTATCTTAGCAAGTACTAACCCCGCCCACCCAACCTCTCTTTTCTTAGAAGCTATGTCATTTGCCAAAATCGATCTTATGTAAGCAGATACTAGCCCCGCCCACCCACCCTCTCTTTTCTTAGAGGATATTTCATTTGCCAAAATCAGCCTTATCTTAGAAAGTACTAACCCCGCCCACTCGCCGTCTCTTTTCTGAGAGGATATTTCATTTGCCACAATCATTCTTATCTAAGCAAGTACTAGCCCCGCCCACCCACCCTCTCTTTTCTTAGAGGATATATCATTTACCAAAATGAATCTTATCTGAGCAAGTACTAGCTTAATATTATATATTGAGAAAAAAATCAAAGTTTCTATCAACGGCAACTTGGCAACAGTTCTAGGAGATATTTCACATAATTTTCACGAGAATACAAAGGTATAATGATAATAGACATCGTTTTCTGTTATTAAGAGACATTTTTATAGCAAAAAACATCAACTCGATGGAATTTATTTTCGTATCGTAAAGTTATGGCTCCTAAACGAAACTCACTACAAAAATTTTCGAGTAACGTAAAACTTATTTTTCATAGCGCTTGAGATTAGATTCATTTTGAAATTGCAAATCTTCGCGTAGATTTTTAGTGACTTATCTGTCACTTAATCTCTCACCGTACGTAGTATACTCTCAATATTGTTAATTAATGGCAGCATTATCATCTTATTAGAATTGTAAGAACAATTCCGATACCACTTAACTTTGGCACTTATGTAGAGTTCTTGATGTACTACGTTGTACTTGTAGCGCAGCCACCCTTTATTTAAATAAAATATTGTAAGGAAGGTTTTATTCTCTTACAGAATCTTGGACAAATCTGTTAAACCGTTGCTGAGAAAATGGATAAATTATAAACAAAGAACCTTGAAAGTATTAAGCTAGTGTTAAATAAACATATCAGACGTGAGACTTATATTTAAAAAAGCAATATTGCTCCTCCCACTCGTACAAGCTCCACCATTAATAAATCATTGATTGGCCCGGAAAAGAGGGGTGGCGTCTACAATTGTTTCTTTCTCATTGTATCTTCTTTATATGATTTTTTAATTATTATTTACTGATGGTAAAGTCGTCTTTGAATGCAAGTCAAAATTTTATTTTAAAAAATGTAGTCCTAGATTCTAATATTTGTCAATTTACAATCAAACTTCCCTTTAAGATCCAATGAATCAAAACGGAAGGAGGGGTGGGAGGGTGGAGCCACTTTTGACTTTGTTTTAAATCTTCGATTCTGCCGCTTATCAAATCAAAATTCAATTCCCATTTTACAAGAGATAAAATAAGCCTAAGTTTAATTTTTTAACAGACTTTGAATTTTACCTCAGGTATGTTGCCAACCTGACAAAAAAATCACAAACATTAGTATTAATAGTCACTCGGTTACTTACTGCGTATAACCCCGTTCCGGTGGTTGATGTGGGGCAAATACCTTCGGCGCCCCGCTACCGTCTCTACGAATCCGTCCTTCCTGCAGCTCTCCAACACCCCCTTAACATAGTCTTTCACCCCTGGATACGCACTCCTAAACGTCTCCATAAAAACCGCCGCTTCCTCCTCGTTCACCCGTAGCTGCTCCCCCAATGCCTTGGACCCCATCCCATAAATAATCCCATAACAAATCTGCTTGGCCCGTTGTCTCAAATCATCCGTAACCTCCCCTTCCTCCAGCCCATTCCACTTCGCCGCCACCGCCCGAAACACATCTCCCTTCTTCCGCAAGATTCCTCGCAGCCGCTCGTCCCCCGACAGGTGCGCCAGCACCCTCAGCTCCAACTGACAATAATCCGCAGAAACCAACACCTTCCCAGCCGGAGCCACGAATGCGTCGCGACAACTAATCTCCACACCTTCTATATCAAACTTCTTCGTGACGTTCTGCAGGTTAGGCTCGTGCATGGTGATGCGGCCCGTGGCCGTATGTGTGATGCAGCACCCATGAATCCGCCCGTCCTGCACCGCGCGCACCAACGGCTGCACCAGCTTGCTGAGGGTGCAATGAATTTTGCGCCACCGCTGCACCAAGTCGGCAATCGGGTTGTCGATGCTCTCCAACACTTGTTTGCGGGTGCTGCGCTTGAGCCCCAGCACTTTGGCGATGTCTTTGGTGGAGGCGAAGGCGAAGCGGCGTCCAGCTAGAGCGAAAGCTTTGTCTTCGACGGATCGTTGTTCGCGGGCGAGGGTGTGCACGAGGTGGGTCAGCGCAGACTTGTGGGCAGGGAGTCCAGCGAGTTCCATCTGGGCGAGGATGCGTACGACGCAGGTCTCGGTATCTGGAAGCGCGAGTGTTAGTTTTGGGTGCGACTAGGATTGAAATAGTACTGTAAGCTTCGGCGAGGTTTGAAGTGAGGCGTTGTTTGAGGGATGTGGTGAGGTGGAAGGCGAGCAGAGCTTCCACGGAGGAGCGGAGTCTTGGGTCGACACCGCTGCGGAGGTCGAGAGAGGGGCTGCCTACGCTTTTGGTGATTCCGCAAAGTTGAGACACTTTGGAGAACGTCGGGCAGTAGAGGGAGACCTAGAATGTCGTTTAGTATGTGTTGTGGGGACCTGGGGGACGTTACCATTGACAGAAGGGTCTTTTCGCGTCCGTCGGGTTCCAACAACCAGTCGGCAATCTTTGGATCTTCAACGTGCGCGAGAACGTCCACCGCGCAACACTTTTTCAACACTTTAATGTGCTCTTTGGAGTCGTACATGCGCACGCTTAGCTCTTGTTTACCTAACAAAGAACGAACAAAAGGAATACAGTCTGCCATCTTGGAAAGACAAAGGTAGTATGACGTGTGCCCGTCCCACGAGATGGCGAACCCTTCCACCTTCCGGTTGCCGTCTATGAATTTGTCTTTTCTCTGTTCCGCAGGAGTCAGTCCAATCGTGCGCTTGTTTTCCTCGACTTCGCTGCACCCCACCGCCACTGAAACCACCTCCTGAGACCTCGCTTCGTTACAAAACGACTTGAAAACACTCTCGCTATTACAGACATTCACGATTTCAAACTCTGACACTTCTTCTTCCGTTCTACTCTTCTTCATGGGGCTTTCCCCCACCTGGACATTCTCTTTGCCTCTTCGTAGACGCTTCCTCGGCGTCTTCGGTGTGAAAAAACTCTCGTCTTGCGACGTCGCCACAAAATCCCCGGTCGAGCTCAAACTGACTCTGGTCACGTCTAGAATGAGACTGTTTTCAAACAAACTTTCATCTGAAGAGTGTGAACATGTATCTTTCGTGTCCCACTTGGCCTCCTTCAAACCCATCTCCATCCTCAAGTACTCCCTCGCGCTTGTCAAAAGTAGCTCCGCCGCCTCCTTCTCCGTCAGACCTTCTTTGCCCACGATCCAGATGTTTTTGAGTTTGTGGCGCTCCTTCATGGCCAACTCCGTCTCCCCGTCTCGGAGTTTCTCGCTTTCGAAGGGTACCACCTTACGCAGGACCGTCTCGATGGTGTTTGCGTCGCAATTGGCGATTTGGACCAGCGTTTCCAAACCTGCGTTATAGAGAGCGCGCGCGCATCTCCCGTTTAGGATTGGTAGTTTCATCAAGTCTAGCAAGTCGCGACTGACTCCGAAATGAAGCCGGTCCTGGAATTGCGAAATCAAGATCTCCACACTGGACCACCCCAACTGTTTACTGAAAGAAGTGACCATTCCGGCGAACGTGGCGGCTGTAAGTTGCAGCGTTTGTAGCATTCCTCGGTTGCAACTAAACTTGGCGCAGACGTCAGACAGAGGGGTTTCGTTGACGAGGTCCTGGAGCGCCAAAGCCACGAAGAAGCGCTTGTGCACCATGTAGGTGTGGTAGAGCTTGGAGGTGTTGGTTTGTGGTTTCCCTCGAGTGGCGCTGACGATGTAGCTCTCACGAACCCCCACCAACCCCCCCACTTTTTTCATACTGGGGGGTAGTTTTTCCCATAGGTTTAGATAAAACATCCAGTCGACGTTACCCCATTGGTGGCACGCGCTATATGGAGTGACCAAGTAGATCAAGTGGAGCTCCGTCTCGAGAACAAAGCATTGCCGTGCTCGTTCCAGCTCGGTGAACAACGCTAGACCATCCTCCGGTGGCATCGACGCCGACAAGCACGCCTTCCCCAATCCCGTCGCTACATACTTCTCCAGCTCCACTAACCGCACGAACTCGTTCTTCACCAGGAAGTCCAGAGCGTCAGCAATCGGATTATCGGAGCCGCTTTGCGCCAGGAGCGTGCACCCGGCGAAGAGCTCCACGTCCCCCGGCGACGACGCCACACCGCTTGCCACCACTTCCAAAATAGCCCGTTTCAACTTCCCGTCACCCTCTAGACAACTCTCCACGGGGCGCAGCGCCTCCGTCATTAGCCCCCTCGCATGCTTCTCCTCGTGCTTTTGGCACACCAGGATGCTCTCACCGCACGCGTCTTTCCCCATCCTCCCGGCCCGCCCCATCATCTGGCGGTACACCAACGCGTCCAAAGCTTTTCCGTGGAACACCGGGGTCCGGATGATCACCCGGCGCGCCGGGAGGTTCACCCCGGAGGACAGCGTCGACGTGGCCACCAGCACGCGGACCACTCCGCCACGGAAAGCACCCTCGACGATGTCCCTCTCGTCCAGAGTGAGTCCAGCGTGGTGGAAGGCCACCCCGAAGGACGCGGTCCTACACAGCACCGGGTCCAACCCAACGGGACACCGCTTCAGCTGCTCCAGTAGCTCGCAGATGCGCTCGCTGTTAAGCTGGCTGCGTAAATCTACTCCGATCTGACTCGTGCCGCGTCCGAGCTTACAGAAAGCGGCGGATATCTGCTGAGCGAGATTCTCGCACCAGTTTTTCGTGGGGCAGAAGATCAACACGGAGCAGTTGTCTTTGATGGTTTCAAGACACAGCTGGAGGATGTGGTCGGTGTCGGTGTCCAGGTCCGGAAGGGGCGCGATTTTCCGCACGAGCTTGAAATTAGAGTCGTAGATGTCGCCGGCGACGCTAGCCAGTTCGTGTAAAGGAATGGGGCGGAAGTTCGTCACGTACAGCTCGGCGTCGAGCCACTTGGACAAAGTTTGTAAGTTCGGGAGGGTGGCAGACATCCCGATTATTTGTACGTCGACGGTGCTGTCCTTCAAAGAGACGTACTTGAGCTTGGTTAACAATAACTCGAGGATGTAGCCACGGTTGGGCTCCCCGAGGAGGTGCATCTCGTCGATAACCACGGCGCCGATTTCCGATAAAGTTCCTTCTTGGAGAAAGTGGTTGATGAGGCTATTGGCTTTCTCGATGGTGCACACGGCGAAGTGCACCGACTTGAAGCCTCCAGGGGGGTTATACGAGCCCATGAAACCCTCCACTCGGACCCCACTCCCGCTAAAAATATCCTGGAAGTAGAACATTTTTTCTCTCACCACTGACACAAAAGGCAGGATAAAAATTACTTTCTTTGAGCGCTCGAGGACGGTTTTAATTGCTAGAATTTCAGCTACGAGAGTCTTACCGGCTGAAGTGGGGGCCGAATAAACGAGGTTTGCGTGTTGTTTGAGCACTCGGGGGTTCTTTAAGCATTCGGCTTGCCACGGAAACATCGTGGCGATTTTTCGGGATGTGTATTTTTCCAGAATGGAGTCGGGGAGCCCCCAGGAAGACAACTTGAGGATGTGGGGGTCGGCCTCGTCGAACAAATCATCTTGAGACGTGTCGTTTTCCTCGTTACCATGTTTAGGGGTCTCCTGAGGTGTTCTGTCAGTTACATTTACCGAAGAATCAAGGAAATTTTCCACGAGGGACGAGTTTTTCTCAAATAAGTCACACGAAGTGTTATTTTGGGTTGTGGTGAATGATTCAGAGTTGAGGAACCCATCAAATATTGAAGTGTTTTTTTCAATTTTTTCTATCTCCGTTTCGGCGTTTCGTAACACGGAAAATTCTTGCGAGTTGAGGAACAGAGAGTCGTCGAAAGAGATTTCATTGGTTTTCTCTTGCGGAAGATCAGTTTTTTCGATGTTTGTTGTGATGTGACTAAAAGTAAAGTTGTCGAATGTATCATTCATCATATTTACAAATTATTGAATAAATATTATAAAAGTCGGTGCTTCAAGCTTGTATAAAATCTTCAACTTGCATTATATACAGATATTGTTGCTAAAATAAATAAATAAATAATCACAGACTAGAAAAGTGGGGTTAGATTTTTAAATTTGTTTGCTGTCATCTGTCTTATTGTCAAACACCTGTCGGGTGACAGGCCACAATATAAACACCAGTGTATTGTAAGTTGCCTAAACGTCCCTGAAAAAAAATATCTGTTTTGAAAATTAAAAGAAACCACTTATATGCTTAAAAAAAATAATTAAATTTGCTTAAATAAGAAAAAAAGGGGGTAAGTTGGTGTTGAAACCCCTGAACTGTGTTAGAGTGAAATCGCATCGAAAATATTTTGGTTAAGAGTTGGCTGCAAAAATTTGCTACAATTGACACCACTGATCTTACTGCTAAATTAAGAGTGACATTATGCTAATTTGTATTGCGAAACAGCACGGCCATATTTTAAAAGGACAGATTTTCTTCTCATCTGGAAGCACGGTTGCGCTTCGCCCCAGCAGATGTCCCTATCGTGGAATTCCGATCAATACCGCGAAATCACCTGACTGCAACCTGCACAATTATCGCAACGTAGAAAGTATGTGGTTATCTAGCTCAAATAGATAATTGCGTGTCATTAAAAAACACACTAATTACATTACGCTCGAGTGGGTAAACTTAAACCCCGACTTAGTCGCAGCCAAACACGAATCAGAAATTTATCAGTCTCTTTATCAAGAAACAAAAAAAACGTGTCCATCTATCACGGCCGGAGCGATCTCGCCGGAGTGACCCCAATCGCATCTCGGCGACAATTCCGTCAATTAATCCCAATGAAATTCCTCTTGTTATCTTGGCATTAACACACGTACGAGTGGTAAGTGCGGACGTGTTTTGTTGACGACAGAGACATGGTAGAAGACGAAATTCCGCACTTATCAATAACGGTAGACGATAAGGACATCAACGCCGGCGCCCTCGACGTGCTGCAGGAGATCCGACCCCTGTGGAGGAAGGAGGACGTCGAGCTTAAGGTACGTCTTTTTGTGTTTGCGGCGACTTCTTCGCTTGTGGTTGTCGAGGAATAAGCAAAAGGAATAGCTGTTGACAGATGGGATCACGAACAAACTGGTGGGATGCCGCCACAAGGACGAGGACGAGGCAGAAACGGTGCTAGTGCGAATTTATGGTAACAAAACTGACCTTCTGATCGACCGCAAGGCCGAGACCAGGTGAGCAGGTGTCGTCTTAGCACGACGATGCAAATTTTTTACTGCGAATTTATCGGTTGTGCGATTTGTGAAAAAGAAAGTGGTTTATATGTATACCATGTTTACATTTTTTTCAAGGCGACGAAATACGAAAAAAACTGATAATGGGTCAAATGGTTACTAGGAATGAATGTCAAGTGTCGCAATTATCTAACAAACAACAACAAAGGAATAAAGATATGATTGTTTGCATCCTGTAACCACTTTTTTCCAGATAAACAACGATTAGACATGTATTATTAGTTAAATCTGTGGTTCTAGGCGGTTGCGATAAGTCGAGTGGGTCGTTAATTAACTCACACGCGATAAAACTATCAGATTATGTATTCGTTACAGGAACATCCTTCTCCTGAGCAAGCTAGGCTTGGCACCTCACCTGTACGCCACTTTCCAAAACGGCCTAGCTTACCAATTCGTTCCAGGATGCACTTTAACACACCAAACCGTCACCGAAGAGCACATTTATCGGCTCGTGGCGACCCGAATGGCCAGACTGCACAAAGTCCAAGTACCAAATCAACACACCCCTCGCCCTTTCATCTGGAACAAAGTCCAGAGCTTTCTCGATTTGGTCCCTGACGTTTTTACCGATACCAACAAACACACCAGGTACATAATAATAATATATAAAAACGCATCCTCAAACTTCCAAATTTATAGATTCCAAGGGCTTAAAATACCGAAAGCGCTACTTCAAGCCGAACTCCACTATCTAAAGAGAGTTCTAGACGAGCCGGGACTTCCGGTGGTGTTCTGTCACAACGACTTGCTGTTAGGCAATGTGGTGTACACGCAGGAGAAGAACTGCGTTACGTTCATCGACTACGAGTACGCCGCTTTTAATTACCAGGCCTTCGACATCGCGAACCACTTCCTGGAGTTCGCGGGGGTCGAGGACGCGGACTTCAGCAGGTATCCGAGCGAGGAGTTGCAGAGGAACTGGCTGTGTATCTACCTTGAGGAGTTCAAGGGCAACTTCGGGGCTGAAGATATAGACAGGTTGTTGCGGGAAGTGAACAGGTTTGTGTTGGTGAGTCACCTGTTCTGGGGGATTTGGGCGCTGATTCAGACCGAGCATTCGTACATAGATTTTGATTTTTTGGGGTAAGTTGGGTGTGTTTGATGGGTTCCTTCTGATGGTACTGTTTAGGTATGCGGCTGTGAGATTTGAAGAATATTTTACGAGGAAAGAAGAGCTGACGTCGTCCGGGAAACTTCCGAGATGATGGCGGTGGAGGGGGTTGGAGTTTGTATTAGGGTTTTGTAAATCTCGTTTAAATAAAGAGTTATTTTTACTTTAATTGTTATTATGCAACAAAGGGTGCAAAAATCGACGAAAGTTCGGTGCTTGCAGTGGTTGATTTTTTTTTACAAATTTTTTACTTTTCAAAAGATGACTCAGAGTAAGTGCTTCTGACCACGTTTGTCCCATTTGGCGATTTTGTCATCTAAAGAGCAAGTTCTAAACTTCGTTGGTTGTCTTGTCGAGTTGGTTAGAACCTCAGATTGGCAAAGCTTGGACGTTCGTTCTGCGAAAAGGATAACATATAAGTGAAGAGATAGCTAACACAACAATATTGGATCAAAATTAGCGCCATCTGTACAACGGTAGATAATTATGAGTTAAATATTACAGGAAACTCTACCATCAGTTCTTTTGCCATCTCTTCAACAACCTGCATTCCTGTTCCGAGGAACAAGATCCAGGTTCGTCAGCACTCCATTTTAGTCTGGTCGGCCCCGTCGGTCGTGGAGACGGTTTGAATGAAACCGTACGGACAAACAACTGATTTTTATTTTTTTATTTCAAAGTTATTAACTATGTTAAAACAGCAACTCATGTCTTGTACTTCTCCAGACATCGAAAATATAGTTAATGAAGTAAATGAGCGTCAAAAATATCATATAATTTTTTACCAATTTTATTACTTTTTGGTTGAGACATTTGAACTCTACACTACCAGTTGTTAGTTAACATCATTAACATTTTTTCTGAAGATGATGGAAGAGTTGCTTAGAAAACTAGTTTAAATGGTGTTTTTTGAAATGAAGGGGGGCTAAGGACATTGCTTTTAGAGCTGAAAGTTGTCATTTATAAACTACGTTCCCGTTGACAGTAACTTTGATGTTCAACTTTTGCCGTATTTAAAGGAGTTGTAGAAGAAAAGTGGCGGATTTAAGTTAATTACCACAAAAATTTACCATTTTAGACATGTTTTAAGTTTCTTGTTGTCGAAATAAGTCTACGCATATTAAGAAAAAGGGGCAAAATGTAGCCCCGCCCACCCACCCTATCTCAATTCTGACGATTTTTCTTATTCGTCGTGAGTCAAGAAGGCGGAGCTTAACTGCAAAATCGTTATTTCTCTACGAGAACATGTTTTTGAGTATCGTGTTGTTCAAAGAATACTATATATTAAGAAAAAAACAAAGCCGAAGATTAGATTCCACCCATACCCGTTCCGATCTCAATTCTCAGTTGTGATGAATTTTTCATTCGTTGTTAGATCGAGGGGCGGGGTTTAATTGCAAGATCCATATTTGTCTACAAGAATTTACCATTTTAAACAAGTTTTAAGTTTCTTGTTCTGAAAAGAGGACTACCTATATTAAGAAAAAAGGCAAAATATGAAGTAAAAAGTTGGATAAGTCTGTCAGAGAATCCAAAGTGCTCAAGTTTATCCTGTTTATCAATTAGTAAGTAGTGATCGATTTGATTGAATGCCTTTTGAAAATCAAGATATATGCTATCTACCTGCTTTCTTTTGTCTATGGCCTCAGATGTGTACTGTGTAAAAGATGCTAAATTAGAAATTGTAGAGCGTTTCTCCATGAACCCGTGGTGAAAGGGTGACAAATTGATTCTGGTCAAATGGATAAATGTGTTTAAATAAAATCGACTCAAATACTTTGGCAAAATTACAAAGCAGCTAGATAGGTTTGACTAGCCTTTTTAAATATTATTATTATCAAATTTTATAATATTCTAACGTTGGAATTGAAAGAGATGCCACTTATTCGCTTTAAACCTAGATTGAAAACATATTTGAAATTCAAGACATATTATAACTACATTGATTTTTTAACTGATGACAGTAGTTCGTCTCTTTCAATTCCATAGTTATTCTTGATTTATATTATGTTTTAATGTATGTGTATTTTATCTTATGATGTTTAATGTGAACTATAATGTAGTGTATCTAAGTTTATAATGGTATTTGTGACTTGTGTAAAACATGTTTTATGTCCTATACACCAATAAAGTTAATTATAATTCTAATTCTAATTTAAATATCGGACAAACGATTGCTTTTTTCCAAATAACAGGAACGACACCATTTCGTCCATTTTCATCCTTTTCGACCTTTTCGTCCTTTGTCGTCCTTACTATCCTTTTTCGTCCTTTTTCGTCCTTTTCGTTCCTTTCGCCCTATTCGTCCTTTTTGTCCTTTTTCGTCGTTTTCGTTCTTTTTCGTCCTTTTTCGTCTTTTCCGTTCTTTTTAGTCCTTTTTCGTTCTTAGTATCCTTTTTCGTCCTTTTCGTCCTTTTTCATCCTTATTCGTCCTTTTTTGTCCTTTTTCATCCTTATTCGACCTTTTTGTCTTTTTTCGTCCTTATCATCCCTTTTTGTCCTTTTCGTCCTTTTTCATCATTTTCGTTCTTTTTGTCTTTTTTCGTCCTTTTCGTCATTGTTCGTCCTTTTTCGTCCTTTCTCGTCCTTTTCGTCTTTTTTCGTCCTTGTAGTCCTTGTCGTCCTTGTCGTTCTTTTTTGTCCTTTTTCGTCCTTTCTCGTCCTTTTCCTCCTTTTCGTCCCATTTCGTCCCTTTTCGTCCTTTCCGTTCTTTTTGTCATTTTTCGTCCTTTTTCGCCCTTTTCGTCCTTTCTCGTCCTTTTCGTCCTTTCGCCCTGTTCGTCCATTTTCGTCCTTTTCGTCCTTTTCGTCCTTTTTCGTCCCTTTCGTCCTTTTTCGTCCTTTTCGTTCTTTTTCGTCCTTTTCGTCCTTCTTGTCATTTTTCGTCCTTTTTCGTCCTTTTTCGTTCTTTCTCGTCCTTTTCGTCCTTTTTCGTCCTTTTTCGCACCTTTCGTCCTTTTTCGTTGTTTTTCGTCCTTTCTCGTCCTTTTCGTCCTTTTCGTCCTATTTCGTCCCTTCTCGTCCTTTCCGTCCTTTTCGTCCTTTTTCATCCCTTCCGTCCTTTATCGTCCGTTTCGTCCTTTTTCGTCCTTTTCGTCCTTTTTCGTCCTTTTCGTCCATTTTCGTCCTTACTATCCTTTTTCGTCCTTCTCGTTCCTTTCGTCCGTTTTCGTCCTTTTTCCTCGTTTTCGTCTTTCTTCGTCATTTTTCGTCTTTTTCGTCATTTTCGTTCCTTTCGTCCTTTTTGTCCTTTTTGTCCTTTTTCGTCGTTTTCGTTCTTTTTGTCCTTTTTCGTCCTTTTCGTCCTTGTTCGTCCTTTTTCGTCCTTTCTCGTCCTTTTCGTCTTTTTTCGTCCTTGTCGTTCTTTTTTGTTCTTTTTCGTCCTTTTCGTCCTTTTCGTCCCATTTCGTCCCTTTTCGTCCTCTTCGTCCATTTTCGTCCTTTTCGTCCTTTTGCGTCCTTTTTCGTCCCTTTCGTCCTTTTTTTTATATCGATATTTTTAACTGCAGTTTAAGAACTTTAAATCTAACAGTTGAGGAAACATGTATTTCTATCATTTAATTCTTAAGTTGAGGTGTTTTGATTAATTTTTATATTTTCATATATATAATTGTCCTATTAATGGAACTTTGTATTCTGTTGGACAATAAATTTTATCTTATCTTATCTTATCTTATCTTATCGTGTCGTCCGTTTCGTCCTTTTTCGTCCTTTTCGTTCTTTTTCGTCCTTTTCGTCCTTCTTGTCATTTTTCGTCCTTTTTCGTCCTTTTTCGTCCTTTCTCGTCCTTTTTGTCCTTTCGTCCTCTTCGTCCAATTTGGTCCTTTTCGTCCTTTTCGTCCTTTTTCGTCCCTTTCGTCCTTGAGCGTCCGTTTCGTCCTTTTTCGTCCTTTTCGTTCTTTTTCGTCCTTTTCGACCTTCTTGTCATTTTTCGTCCTTTTCGTCTTTTTTCGTCCTTGTCGTTCTTTTTTGTCCTTTTTCGTCCTTTCTCATCCTTTTCGTCCTTTTCGTCCCATTTCGTCCCTTTTCGTCCTTTCCGTCCGTTTTGTCATTTTTCGTCCTTTTTCGCCCTTTTCGTCCTTTCTCGTCCTTTTTGTCCTTTCGGCCTCTTCGTCCATTTTGGTCCTTTTCGTCCTTTTCGTCCTTTGTCGTTCTTCTGAACAAGATGGCGACGAGTGAAGAAGTGTTTTCGGATTCTCAAAGAAGTGAATCGGAAATAAAGTGCGATAAATGCAAACAAGTGCTAAGAAGCAAGTGTACACGTTGTGTTGTTTGTGGGCTAACTTATCACCCTAGTTCTGCTCGTGAAAAAAATAAAAAAAAGGAAGTGTTTAGTTTCTTTACCGAAACAGAAATGGAATATCTTCATCACAATAAAACAGCGACTTCAGAGAGTACATCTGTCAAGATAGGAGATGAAGAAACTTCGATAACGGAAACAGTAATTAGTTTCCTAAAAAGCAACACCTTTTCTAGCATCTTACGCAAGGCAATAGAAGCAGCCACCGTCTCCCTGCGTGACGAAATTCGAAGTCTTAAACAAGAGCTTAACAATGTGAAGAGTTCCAATGTTGATATGATAAAAATGTTGACAGATTATCCCAAAAATAATTTGTTGAAGGTGTCCTCTTTCGATGTCGATGCGTTCTCCGATATATCTTCCGATGGCATAAACGATACAAACGAGTGGAAAAAAAAGGTGCACTATAAAACATCACGCGATAAGAGTGTCCAAAACCGATCCGGCCAAAAAACTAATAAAACGCAGAAAATTCCGAAGGATAACAATAATAAATCCGTTTTAGACCCAAAGGTTATCCCGTTTATTCCATCTAATCCATCATTAAACGCAGCATCGTCGAACATGGAAAAAAATGAAAAAAATGAAGAAATATCTTCTCAAAACGCCCTAAATGATGCCGAAGGTTTTCAAACTGTTGTCTCAAGAAAGAAAAAGCGTAACTTCATTCGAGGTAAAGCTTCTGCTACAAATGAAAATGATACGTTGATAAAGGCTGTGCCGCGAAATGGGTATATCTATGTCGGTAATTTACATCCAAACACGTCTGAAAACGATTTGAAGCTATTTTTAAAGTCTAAATTCTCTGATAAAGAAATTAGTGTTGACAAACTTCCTAAGAGGCCTACTGCCAAAAGCGTGTC